AAAAAAAAAAAAAAAAAAAAAAAGAAAAATATAGCTGGGTGCAGTGGCACATGCCTATAGTCCCAGGTACGCTGGAAGCTGAGCCAGGAGGATCACTTGAGCCCAGGAGTTTGTGTCCAGCTTTGTTTGAGTGATGTACATAAATACTAACAACTATATGTTTTAGTAAATAAGTAAACATAACCCCAGAAAACCACATCTTCAGTTTGGGTTGTCTTTTATCTGTTCTTTTTCACAGAGCATATGAAACTTCTAAAATGTATCGTGATTTTAAATTGAGAAGTGCACTAATTCAGAACAAGCAATTAAGACTGTTACCACAGGAACATGTATATGATAAAATCAATGGAGTATGGAATTTATCCAGTGATCAGGTATTGTGCAAAGAACTAGTGAACCTTTTGGGACAGTGTTTTGGTAATCATTTTTCCATTCATCATTGGATTTATATAGTCAATTCTAATTGTTAAAATTAGCATTATAGGAAAGCATATTATTTTTCAATAAGCACAAATTAGGTTGACAGTAACATTCCTATTTTCAATTCAATAAAATGGTATTCCAGTCCTGGACTGTCTCTTTAATTAATGAATCAAAAATTCCTGGTGCTATGCTAGGTGGTAAAGATCTAACTATGGAACTCCTACCCTTATAAACAATGCAATGTGGATTGATGGGGGATATTACATATGTTTTGTTTCTCTTTCTTGCCACAACTTCTTTGCTTTGACTTATCCAAGGTTTTGAATACTAATTTTAGTAAGGTCTAACATTTGTAGATTGCTTACTATGTGCCAGGCACCGTGCTAAGGGATTTATTCACATGGGATATTTAATCAGATCTCCATTTTTACATTTGACAAAATACATCAAGAAGAAATTTCCCCATGGTCAGACAGTTGGTAGGTACTGATGGTTTAATGATTAGGCAGCCTGACTGCAGAGTCCAGGCTGTTAGTTATCTAATTGTACTGCTATCAATGAATCATGAAGTCATTGATACTCAATTTTGGTATTATTTGCTGCTGTAATAAGAATTATTCTGGTGATTAGAAAATAAAGAATAGGTATCCAAAAAATGATCATTTCTGTATCTCTCATTACTGTCTTTTACAGGGCAATTTAGGTACATTTTTTATTACCAATGTGAGAATTGTGTGGCATGCAAATATGAATGATAGTTTTAATGTCAGTATACCATATCTGCAAATTGTAAGTACATACATTTTGATGACCTTATTTTCATGTAGAATAAATATTTTTTGTTCAATAGTTAATGGGACTTTTAGGATTAGATGAGTTCTGCCCCCTTTTTTAAGTGGTAGCAGTTATTAGCTGAGAGTATATTGTAAAGATGTTGATAATTTACTATGAAATATTTTATTTCAACATAGAAAAGATCTAATTGTACTTACTCTCCAGAGAAGCAGCACTATTGCCCGCTTGCTATTAGAAAAGAAATATACTGGATTCTAAAAATTTAAACAGTTATACAGAGTGAGGTGCCTCTCAGATTCCATCCAGAAGGCTTTAACTATTAAAGTTTTCTGTAACCTTTTTGTGAAGCAAGTATATGGTGGTTCCTTGGCATAGCTTTAGCACACTGATCCACAGTTTTTCTTGACTCACTTGTCACTTTCTGCTCCAAAGCTTTTAAAAGCCAGAAGGATTTATTAATTCTGTGAATGAACTGCTTTCATTGTATTTAGACACAGAATGTAATACAAGCTGGATTCATACCACAGGTTTAATGAAAGGAATCAAGATGATTTTTAGTGATAATACTTTCAGCTTAAGTCCAATTAAAACTATTAAAATCAGGCTGGACATGGTGGCTCATTCCTATAATCTCAGTACTTTGAGAGACTGAGATGGGAGGATTGCTTGAGGTCTGGAGTTCAAGACCAGCATGAACTAGACCCTTTGTCTATTTTTTTTTTTTTTACACAAAAACCAAAACAATTAAAATTCAGAATAAGAACTGACTATATCTGAGACCAATTTGTTTGGGGAGTAGGTAAAGATAGTTCTTTTTACTGTGCTGCTGCTATGATAAATAAGTGACTCAGTGAAACAAACTGTAAATTCCAATACACTAAGTAATTTTGTTTTATGTAAAAAAAACTACTTTCAGAATTCTAGTACAAATTAGATGGAACATAAAAATAGTTAATGAAAATCACATGAGGTTATCCTGAGATGACTGCCCTTATTGTAGGATGTATAGTCTTAAGACTAGGGAGTTTTATTAATATTTATTGAGTAGACAGAATGTATGTGATACCTAGAAAATACCATTTTTAAGAAAAGAATTCCTGGCCCATGAGACGAATAATTCTTTGCAAAATATTCCCAACCCTATCTTTGGCTAAATTATTTGATTTCTGAGTTTTAAATTTCTGATAATTCATGCATTTTTATGCTAAATTTTGAGCACCTCCTCTGTGCCAGGTGCTAGAGATACAGTCATGAAAATCATGAACCAGTATACAGTTCCTGCCATCAAGGGGCTTTCAGTCTGGTGGAGAAAAACAACATATTAAACAGAAAGTCATAGAATCGCATAGGAAGAAAATTATTTCTGGCCATCAAAAGAAATATAAAAATTTATAATCAAGGCTGGGACGATGTGACAAAATCTACATAGGTATTTGACAAATTTGTGTTTGTATTACTATTGCTTTTTTATATTGCATTAACGTGTTACAGCTTGCCTAACCTAACTTCTATTATGCTGAATAATTACTGAGTAGTAAACAACCTTGTGCTTTCTGTTCTTTTCATTATTTAAGAATAGAGTTGCCAAATATGGCCTCTGGAATGAATTCAAGCTGGCCCAAACAACTTGCAATCTGATATCATCACCGTCTGTCAGGCCGCAGTCATTTTCTAACTTCAGCTCTGCACCTCAGCCATTACCCCAACCCCACTCCTATAGATACATATATATCAGCGTCTTGCCAGTTTCTGTCTTACCAGCCTGTGTCACCCACAGACACCTGGTTAGATTACCTATTGAAAGCCAAAGTGCCAGTGTTCTATGATTCTTTTTGTTTCTTTTCTTTTTTTTTTTTGAGGCAGGGGTCTCACACTGTCACCCAGGCTAGAGTGCAGTGGCGCAGTCTTGGCTCACTGCAACCGCCACCTCCCAGGCTCGGTTAATCCTCTCTCCCTCAGCCTCCTGAACAGCTAGAACCACAAGTGTGCATGCCCGGCTAATTTCTTTGTAATTTTGGTAGCAACAGGGTTTCACCATGTTTCCCAGGCTGGTCTCAAGCTCCTGGACTTAAGCGATCTGCCCACCTCAGCCTCCCAAAGTACTGGGATTATAGGCGTGGACCACCGCCGCTGGCCCATGTTCTATGATTCTTAACTGGAATTGTACATATTCTTGTGGGGTATAAAGTAGTCCAAGTGAAAGGCCATGTTTTCATAACAATTATCATCAAAGCTTTTCTTCTTTTTCTCAATCTCTTTCTCAAAGTTGCCCATCTGTCTAGAAACGTGATATTCCAACATCACCTGCCAGATTACCCTCTTCTGGGTTTTTGGTCTGCTGGTCGTAGTGTTAGGTCCTCCATGGTTCTCCCCTACCCTGCCAGCAGGTACATTTTATGTCACTTCTACAGGCCCTACCTGCCATGCTGCTTCTACTCTCCCCTTTTCCCAGGCCTCTGGTCAACGCCCATCTTCCGCTGACCAAGCTTAGTCCTCATATCACATTTATCAGCTGATGTTAATTACACTTGATCTATCCCAGCCTTCCTTGATGCCTAGTGATAAATATTCAAACTTTTTTTTTTGAGACAGAGTATGCTCTGTTGCCCAGCTCACTGCACCCTCTGCCTCCCAAGTTCAAGCAATTCTCCTGCCTCAGCTTCCCGAGTAGCTGGGACTACAGGCACCTGCCACTACACCCAGCTAATTTTTTGTATTTCGAGTAGAGACGGGGTTTCACTGTTATTAGCCAGGATGGTCTCTATCTACTGACCTCAGGTGATCCACCCACCTGGGCCTCCCAAAGTGCTGGGATTACAGGCATGAGCCACTGTGCCCAGCCCAAACTTATTTTAAAAACATAAATAGAATAGAGGTTCTTTTAAGAATTTAGCCGGCTATGAGGTAAGAAACAGAAGGCACATGTGACTTTAAAAAACTAATCTAGCCTTAGGAGCTACAAAAGACACTGGCTTACCAAAACTAAAAGATTGCTAGCCTTTTGTTTAAAAGTTGAGGCTGGACACTATGGCTTATGCCTGTAACCCCAGCACTTTGGGAGGCTAAGGCAGCAGGATTGCTTGAAGCCAAGAGTTCAAGATCAGCCTGGGCAATGTAGTGTGACCCCATCTCACCAAAAAGAAAAAATTAGCTGGGCATGGTGGCACATGCCTGTAGTTCTAGCTAATCAGGAGGCTGAGGCAGGAGGAGGATCTATTAGCCCAGGAGTTTGAGGCTGTGGTAAGCTGTGATCACACCATTGTACTCTGGCCTGGGTGGCTGAGTGAGACCTAATTAATTTAATTGTCTCTAATTTTTTAAAAAGTTCACTCCCTGGAAGTGAGAAATATTTGAGTCTGATAATTTTGTACGTACTTCAGAGCTGTCTTTCTTGTATTGCCTCTTAAAAGTTTGCCACCTATTTTCAGTGTGAGTCTTGTTTCTTTTACTTGATCTCTGTGGGAGTTTAATGAAAGGAGGGAGAATTCTGTTCTTTAGACTATGAAAAGTAAATACTATGTAAAGTTTAAAAACTGTGTTAAAGAGTCACTATTCAGTTAATAAAAACATGCATGTTTTTCTTTTTCATTTTACCTCTAGCGTTCAATAAAGATTAGAGATTCAAAATTTGGTTTAGCTCTTGTCATAGAAAGCTCTCAGCAGGTAAGATCATCTTGTATATTTTTATTAATCTTTGATTTTTAAAACTATGTGACAGTCTAGATTTTTAGTTTTATTTATAATCAGTTTACATCTGAGAATATTCGCTTTAATATGAAGTTTATATGAAGTGTTTGAAGTCTTATAGAAACTGTCCCCAGAGGAAGAATCATGCTTATATTTTTTTGTTGGACAGACATAATCACTTGTGATCATCACTTTTATTATTAATGACAGAATCAAGTCACTGTGCTGAGAGCTTTTCATGCATTATCCCAGTCTTTAGACAATCCTACAATACAGCTACTATTTTCCCCCCATTTTACAGTCAAGAAAACTGAGGCTTAGAGAAATTAGGACTTTGCCCATGATCTCACAACTAGTAAGTGGTGGAGCTAAGTTTTGATCTCAAGTCTGACTGATTTACCAAGACTGTCTCAGAAAAACACAACCATATATTTGTGTGTATACACACACACACACACAGTTTGAGATCTTATATTCTCACATATACATATGCTAACTAATTATAACCTTCTATGCTCCGTTATGCCAGGTTTTTGCAGAAATGCATTTGAATAAAACACGCTGGTCTGATGGTAGTAGGTTTCACTGGCTAAGAAAAATGTTAAATACATTTTTAAAAAATGATTTATGAAATTACTTATCATCTAAATTCTAAATGTAAACATGAATGTCTGCTCATTCCTTCCCCTGCCTACAGCTGCCATTTATTGAGTGTTTACTCTGTTCCAAGAACTATATCAAATGTCGTATATATATTTATCTTATTTAATATGACAACTTGATAACCATTTTATAGTTAGAATATTGAGGCTTAAAAAGGTTAAGGAAAGTTTCTGAGTGTCCTACAGCTAGTGAATTAGTGGTAGAACCAGAATTTGAACATAAATGCAGTGCTCTCAACCCAGAGCATATACTCTTACCTATTACAGTACACTACTTAGTTTTTTAACACTCCTCAAAACACTCTATCATGGCCCAGTTTCTTTCCTAATTCTTCAAGGAGATAGCCACAGATGGCCCATTTCCCTTCTTATTTTCATGTACTCTGTTCCTTTTTAAGGCCTAGCTCAAGAAAAACTTAGTTATTTTGGCCTTCACAGTCTACAGTATAATTTTTAAATCTTGAAAGGTTACCTTTGATATTTCAGATGAAATTATATTTGGATATACTTCAAAATAAGCCTGCGTTGGGGGTTGAGGGGTTCAGGTGAGGGCGAGGTTACAGATGAAACAGAGTTGGCCACATGTTGCTGCTTCTTGAAGCTGTATGATGGCTCCGTAGGGGCTCCCGTTTGTACTCTTCTGTTTTTGTATATGCTTGAAATTTTTCATAATAAAAAGTTTAATTGAAAAAATGAACGTACATATTGTGCTCTAAAATAAGGACTATCAAATTTATCATATAAATGCAATTCTTGAGACATGTGTTTTTTTTTTTTTTTTAATAATTATTTTCTCTTGTAGAGTGGTGGATATGTTCTTGGCTTTAAAATAGATCCTGTGGAAAAACTACAAGAATCAGTTAAGGAAATCAATTCACTTCACAAAATCTATTCTGCCAGTCCCATATTTGGAGTTGATTATGAGATGGAAGAAAAGGTAATTTGTTGAGTATGTGAAATAAAGTTTGCTGAATTGGTTTTATGCAATCTGTAAAAGTCAGATATAAATATCAGTGTGTACCATTTAATTTTGAACTGTGTTTAAAATGATGAATATACAGATTCTGCTCAAGTGGGCACAGCTCCTGGATTAATACTAATTCGTACCTACCACCTGTCTTCTAACTGGCTGCTTCATCATCCATTCATTCCTGCCCTCCATACTTACCCTTGTAGATGGGCAGCCACCTGGGTAAATTTCCATGTGCAGTGCTCCTCTGATACAGACAGACTTGAGTCTCTCACTCTGTCAGCTTTATTTTCATTTTCAGCCCCTTATTACCATAGGCAAGCCTTATAGGTCTCATGAATACCGTCTTCTTCTTTAGTACTCCACAATATAGCAACTCCAAGAGTTGGCTACATCAACACGGCCTACATCCATTCCTGTTGATCTGTACCTCTGCCATATCAGTCATGAAATATTTTGCATATCCTGCCCACTTGTCTGCTCTTTGTCTTCCTCTGATTTCTTTCCTGGTTGCTGCTAGTGTTCCCTGCTCTCCAGGTACATTAGCTTTCTTTTGGCTTCACTTGTCTCTCCAGCTGGGACCCTCATCATCCAGTCTATCAATGGTGTCCTCACTACCCACTCCATTAGAGGTGTCCTTACTGTCCACTTTATCACCAGTACCCTTGATAGGGGCACTAGCTGTGATGTACTTGCTGTCCCCTCTATTGTTGGTGCCCCCACTGTCTGCTCTATCACTGGGACAGTCACTGTCCATTCTGTCAGAGGTGCTCTTGCCATCTGTTCCACTGCCCTTGTTGTCCTCTCTGTCCTGGTCCCACCACTGATCACTCAGTTGTAGACTCCCTTGCTATCTGTTCTTTTACTGGGACCCTCATTATGCACTCTATTGCTGGTGCTTTTGCCATTTCCTTTATAATCAGTGCCTCTGCTGGGGCTCAGCATGCTGAGCCGTGTCACAGCCATTACTTATATCTCTCCTTCTGCTCTTGGACTACAGCATGTGACTTTAGTAAGGCCCTTATTGCATGGTAGTGCTCCTCGTACTTAATTTTTCCTCTCCCTATCAAATTCCATATCTTTCTCCTTCTAGCTAAAACCTCCATCTGAGTTGCTGACATTGTATTACATACATTGTATGTATTTCATCATCTGAACCATCCTTTCTTTTTCTTCCCAGCATGCTCTTTCAGCAGTCTTCCTTTCGCTCTGCCTTCTCTGTATATTCCTTGGTAATATCATCTGCTCATTCAGCTTTTTCAACTTGTACTTTTGTGGATGACTCTAGAACTTTCCTTCTGACCTTGACATATTCTTTCAGCTTATGGTTCCAAATACTCTTGAATATTTTCATATAGATGAGCATGCCAAATGATATGAGTGGAATTTCTCATTTCAGATTTATCTTAGTAATTTAAATAATTATGCAAGTCAATAAGATACACCAGAACTTAGATGAGCATCTCAAACTTGGCATACCTAAAACTGGCGTCCTCATCTTTTTCTCAAAAGCAGCAACTTACTGATTTATTGATTTGTTTACTTATATATTTTTGGCACCGTCAAAGTCAGCTGTACTCAAAACTTTGAAGTATTCCTTCATTTTTCCCATTATCTTAATTTAAACTTTCACTTATACCCATCTCTTCCCTGTTTCTAGTTATTACTCTTCCTTGTAGAATAATGTTGTAGAACAAGCATGGTCCTTGGAACCTGACTTTCAATTTATTTGTGATCCTAGGGAAATCTGAGCTTCAGTTTTCTCATAAAATTGAGATAGGGCAGGCCACAGTGGCTTATGCTTGTAATTCCAGCACTTTGGAGTGGCCGAAGTAGGAGAATTACTTGAGGCCAGGAGTTTGAGACCAACCTCAGCATAGTAACACAACATAGTGACACCCTGTCTCTACTAAATTTTTTTAAATTTTTAAAAATTAGCCAGGTGTGGTGGTGCTTACCTGTAGTCTTAACTACTCAGGAGGCTGAGATTGAGGTCAGGAGTTTGAGGCTGCAGTGAGTTATGATCGTGCCACTGTACCGCATCCTGGGCAACAGAGCAAGACCTGTCTTTTAAAAAGAAAAAAAAAAGAGAAACACAGACATAATCTTTCTTAGAAAGTTAATTGATCATGTCCACAAAATGCCTGGCATATAGGAGACACTTGATATGTTAGTTCCCCTACCCATTTGTTCTCTTCTCCTTTTCTTTGACCCCAGTACATAATAGCAGCTAGCCATAATGTCCCACTGTTTCACTTCATATAAGTCCCTAATCAAATGCCATCTCTTCAGGTTCTTCCCTGACTATTCTTCTAAAACAGCAACTCCCATCACCTTATTGTGCTTACTTGCTGTCTCTGTCTCTCTTTCCTCCATTCCTTTCAGAATTAATCAGTCTCCTCCGTTATAAATTATCTCCATTGGCCGGGCGCGGTGGCTCAAGCCTGTAATCCCAGCACTTTGGGAGGCCGAGGCGGGTGGATCACGAGGTCAAGAGATCGAGACCATCCTGGTCAACACGGTGAAACCCCGTCTCTACTAAAAATACAAAAAATTAGCTGGGCATGGTGACGCGTGCCTGTAATCCCAGCTACTCGGGAGGCTGAGGCAGGAGAATTGCCTGAACCCAGGAGGCGGAGGTTGCGGTGAGCCGAGATCGCGCCATTGCACTCCAGCCTGGGTAACAAGAGCGAAACTCCGTCCCAAAAAAAAAAAAAAAAAAAAATTATCTCCATTAAGTCAGGGGTTTTTGTCTGTTTAATGACTCTATCTCCACATGTTGAAACTAGCACATAATAGGCTCTTAGTGAGTATTCATAGTTGTTGGATGACTGTGTTAAACATCTGCTGTTTGTCATTCACTGCTCTAGGAACTTTATATGCACCATCACATTTAATCTTTCCAACAATACTGTGAGAAGTATTATCATTATCCTTATCCCACAGTTAAGGAGACTGAGGCCTAGTTAATTTATTTGCACATAGTCATGCAACTCTGAACGTGGTTGAAACACTGAGGCTATTCTCAGCTTTGTTATAGCTGCTTTTTGTAGGTTGAAGCATATATTGATATTTTATCATTTTTGACTTATAAAAAATGGCAGTTTCATATGGTTCAATATAATATTTAGTTATTTGTCATTGAGCTTTATCTTTATCTCTGCTCAGTAAATTATAAACTCTTTGTGGGTAAGGGTAGGATTTTATACCATTGGTAATACTGGCATAGTATCTAATATAACAAAGGGATATTCAAATATTTGAAAAATGAACAAATTAATAAATATTAGCTCTATATTTTATTATTTACCTTTAGAACATTCCATAAAAATATTCTTTTACTTTTCACAAATTATATATAATGATTATTTTGAGGAAAATTGACCATTTGCTATTAGACAAAACTTAGCTTTTCTAAACAATGTGAAAGAAACTCACAAAAGTCAAGTCAGAGTTTTATCTTTAAAGATATCTGAGTATTAAGTATGTATAAATGTCTCTCTTTAGTTCTTTTCATGATATTGACTTCAGATATGAGAGCTTAGGTTTAATTGACTAGTTTTATTACTCGTTAGTTTTTTCATAAAATAAATTATACCATGATTTTTATAAGACTTTAGTAGCTTGTAATTGTTATTTTTAAAGTATTGCAGTTCTTATGGTACATTTAATATTGTCTCTGATGCATTTTAACATCTGCTGATTTTCAGCCACAGCCACTTGAAGCTCTGACAGTCGAACAGATTCAAGATGATGTAGAAATAGACTCTGATGACCACACGGATGCTTTTGTGGTGAGCATCATAAAGGACAGAGTTTAATTTCTTATCTGTCTTGTTTAATAAAATAATGGTGTAAATGTGTGAAACACCATATAACTTGAGACTTTTGATGGTATCTTAAACATGAGTTTGAAGATGATATTTTTTGTGAAGGATTTCTTTTGTGACAGTAACTTTTAAATTATCAAAATCAGAAATACTTTGAGGCCAGGCACGGTGGCTCACGCCTGTAAGCCCAGCACTTTGGGAGGCTAAGGCAGGTGGATCGCTTGAAGGCAGGGGTTCAAGACCAGCCTGGCCAACATAGCAAAAATCTGTTTCTATAGAAAAAGAAAAAAAAAAAACAAAAGAAATATTTTGAAAACACAGTTATTCAGAGAGTTTTAGGATTTTAGATATGTAAAGTTTTTTCATACCATGAATAGAACATGGTAAATATTATAGTTAATTAAATGTAAAATCTATTCTTTCCATAATGAATTTTTATGAAATGTCTTCTCTTAATTTATAGGGATCTTGGTTTTAAAAAGGACATGTATTTGAACAATAGCTTTCCAATTTCCAAATTGGTATCATTTAACTTATAACCAAATTATAGTGCTTTCTCCATTCTATGGCTATAAATCTGACTAGAATACCTGTCTGGTAACAAATGCTTTGAAACAAAGGTGTGAAATTGGTATAAAATAATTATAAACTACTACCTCAAACTATATGCATTTGCTGACACATTGAAATACTTGTTTTGTTTTGCCAGTATCTTCTAAACCAAATGTAGGGAATAAATTTTATAACTTCTAAGTTATTTTTTTCTCTTTTTTACCTGCTTCTTACCATATGACAATTAAGTCATGTTTTTTTATCTCCTTTCAAGTTAACAGTGCTAATTATATATTACAAACCACATTTTTTAGATCTTAAGGTAAAAGTCTTATAGACTTTAACAGAGTGAATTCTGCTGCCAGCATTGCAGATATAGGTGAAAAAAAATTAGATACCTAGTGACAGAATATGAAATACATTTATAAAATCATTCTGCAAATTATCTTAGCCCACTGATCTATTGGAATCTTGTACGTCCAGTATGTGAAATAGAATTTTCTTTGTCTTATAGGCTTATTTTGCTGATGGCAATAAGGTAAGGACATATATTTTACCTATAATATATGAAAAAAGTTTCTATATTCCAAAATTTAGCATTCACAAACTTATGTGAAACCTATTTTTTTGTTTTTTTCCTCCTCTTTGCCCACCTTCTCGATTCCCATCTTATCCTCTTGTCTCCCAAAAAGCAACAAGATCGTGAACCTGTATTTTCAGAAGAACTGGGGCTTGCAATAGAGAAATTGAAGGATGGATTCACCCTGCAGGGACTTTGGGAAGTAATGAGTTGATCTTGAGTTGAGATGGATTTCTATTTAAACATATCTCAAGTTTAAAGATACTAGTCACCTGCCATAAGTCATGGAATAGTTTTTATATTTACAACTTTTATATTTAAAGCTTTTAAGAGTTTTTAATGATTAAGGAAAAACTCGTTTTTCTAAAAATTATATTTAAAATTGTAATCAAAATGTATCTTGTTTATAAATGTTTATTTTGTACTTAATGCCTGTAAAGTCTTAGTTTTCGGATATTGTGACTGTATCATGTTGGGTTTAATAAAGAATTTATGCAGCACCATTTAACGTTTTGAAAGTATTATTTAAACGAGAAAGACTGTTCTTATGGAATAATCAAAATTCTGCTTTCTTAATTATAAAATTTAATAATGGTTTAAAATTTAATATGGTTTAAATATATTATCCCATGGCTCCTGGCCAGGCATGGTGGCTCATGCCTGTAATCTCAACAATTTGGGAGGCCAAGGCAGGTGGATCACTTGAGGTCAGGGGTTCACGAGACTAGCCTGACCAACATGATGAGACCCCCGTCTCTACTAAAAATATAAAAATTAGCTGGGCATGGGTACCTGTAGTCCCAGCTATCTGGGAGGCTGAGGCATGAGAATCAGTTGGACCTGGGAAGTAGAGGCTATAATGAGCCGTTGATCACACCATTGCATTCCAGCTCGGGCAACAGAGCGAGACTCTGTCTCAATAAATAAATAAATAATCACATAGCTCCAAATGTGCACCAACTCTAATACAAACTGTAATTCTTACACTTGTCATTTTTAGGGATCATTTTTATAAAAACTAAAAAAAATTTTTTTAAGATGGGGGTTTCACCATGTTGGTCGGGCTGGTCTTGAACTCCCGACCTCGGGTGATCCGCCCGCCTTGGCCTCCAAAGTGCTTGGATTACAGGCGTGAGCCACCGCGCCCGGCCAAAACTAAAAATTATAACTATGGAGTACGTCAACCACCCTGAAAAATATTTTGGATGCTGTTTTGTAAAGAATTTCAATGTGGTTTTGTCAAGAATACGTTTACTTTTTTTTTTTTTTTTGAGACGGAGTTTCGCTCTTGTTACCCAGGCTGGAGTGCAATGGCGCGATCTTGGCTCACCGCAACCTCCACCTCCCGGGTTCAGTCAATTCTCCTGCCCCAGCCTCCTGAGTAGCTGGGATTACAGGCACGCGCCACCATGCCCAGCTAATGTTTTTGTATTTTTAGTAGAGACGGGGTTTCACCATGTTGACCAGGATGGTCTCGATCTCTTGACCTCGTGATCCACCCGCCTCGGCCTCCCACAGTGCTGGGATTACAGGCTTGAGCCACCACGCCCGGCCACATTTACTTTTTAAAAAATAGTTCTGTTTATTAACTTTCTCTTTGTATTTATTGAAACTTCTTTGAGGTTTTCTTATTGACCTCTCTAGCATCATTGAGTGGTTTTGACCACTATTTCCGTGTAAAACACATTGAAAGGAACCTTTTTCACATAACTGAAATTAGCCAATGGAGCCCTCTTCTTCCAGAGGGAAAAGTATGTAAAAACATCTAAAATAAGATGCAACTCTGTGTACAACCGTAGACATACCGTACAACCAGGTGCTAACCTAAGTTTATTAAAAATCAATGAACAAAAGCTACAGATTGTTTTTTTATTTAAATGGAAAGGATTTCTACATTTTAAGGGTTGAAATTATAATAAACTACCTTTATGACGGAGGGAAAGAGTGTATGAAAGTTTGTACTGGTCACAGATAAAATGCTGCCATAACTATTGTTTAAATATTGTTTTTCAAGCAAAAGAGACTTTATAAAATTGCCGACTAGTAAGGAATAATCTCAGATGTCATATGGTGTTTGCATCTGACTCATTAATCTTTTCAAATGTTAGATGTTACGTGTAGAGAAATGAGTCATTTATTGTTTAAACAAGGAAGCAGCTGTTAGTTTTTTCTAGTGTGTTAAAACCTTTAGTGACATCTATAAATGGAAAAAGAGTCAATGAGCTCTTCTTTCAGCTGTTGTTTTAGCAGCTGACAGTACCATTGACTTCACTGTGATGTAAAATAAAAGCCTTTACTCATGGATAGAGACCTTGAAGTTTAAAAATACATAATTCCCTGATCTGGGGCATTCATTCATTCAACAAATATTTATGAAGCACTCACGAAACCCCTAAGCTATAGCATTTGAAAAGACACTCACACAATCCCTGTCTTCATGGAGTTTATGTCTTTTTGGGCATGTGTAAGAATACCAACCTTGAAATTATAGTATTTCCACAGCCCTACTTTAGATAATGTTCCAGTATGACTCTAATAATCTGTAATAAAGTATTTAATGAAGTATATGATACAATCTATATATAAACAAAGGACCAGTTTTCTTTCAAATCATGACTTCTACATCCATAATTAATATGGTATTCTATTATAATCAACAACTTATGTCCCCAGTTATATACTCTTTTTTTAAAAAGGTGGGGGCTGTTCTCTCTGACTGCTGTAGGACTTCATCTTGATTTCACTGTGTTCTAGTGATAACATTGTTCTCATGGGATTATATCTGTTCTATTTTTTAACCTTTAATGAATAATTTTTGGCACTTAAAATTACAGATTAGTGATCTTATTTGTATGTGTGTGGACTTTTTCATTCCATAGCATTGACTTTTAATTATTTTTTTTCTGACCCTGTGATTCCTTTTAACCTTTTGCTTTTATTTTACCTTATTATTGTTTGCCACATTAGAGCCTTTGTAAAACATGGCAGGATACGAATAAATAATTTTATAGTTTAATTCAATATTAGTTTTTCTACAGAATAAAAATAATTTGAAATGTTTTACAAAATTAGCAATTCCTCTGCATTCCTTATTTCAGTTATCATGGCAACATTAAAGGTTTTGTAAAACTACAGTACATAAGTAAACATCTTTAAATTTACTATTTCTAAAAGAAATACCTATATCCTGTTTTGAGTAGAAAGTAAAAATTTGTATGTAACAATTATTGGAAATGGGATCTTGCTTATGAGTATTCAAATGAACGCATCTCATATTCTTGACCTTTACATCATTAATTCACAGAGCCAAGTAGCTTGACACTAGAACGTATTTAGAGAAGTGATTCATTTTTATGATTCATTTTTCTGTTAATTCAGTAAACATTTTCTTGTAGTAGCCTTTATTAGTATATCGCCTAATGCATTATGTATTTTTAAGCTTTCAACTTCACTTAAATGTCTTGCTTCTTAGCTGTTTCCTTAGTGATTAAAAGTTCCAGTTGTTACTTTCAATCTATAACAGCTGCTACAACAACTTTTCTTTCCAAGCCAGCTCTCCTAAATTCCCGTTGTTAGAGTTGGTATCTATATTTAGCTGGTGGGATTAAATTGCAAGGTCTTCAAGCCCGGCAAAGCACACTGATCTCTGCCTTTTTACAGCTAGACCGCTAGACCCGTGTGCTACAAGGAACTAAGGCCTTCAGTGTCCCCTTCCTTACCCAGGTTACTCGCAGAATGGATTCCCAGCGGGAACTTGCAGAGGAACTGCGGCTTTACCAATCTACCCTTCTTCAGGATGGTCTAAAAGATCTCCTGGATGAGAAAAAATTCATCGATTGCACCCTAAAAGCAGGTGACAAAAGTCTTCCCTGCCACAGATTGATTTTGTCAGCTTGTAGTCCTTACTTCCGTGAGTACTTTTTATCTGAAATTGATGAGGCGAAAAAAAAGGAGGTAGTACTAGATAATGTGGATCCTGCTGTACTTGATTTAATCATCAAATACCTGTACTCTGCCAGTATTGATCTCAATGATGGAAATGTGCAAGATATTTTTGCATTGGCCAGCCGCTTTCAAATCCCCTCAGTGTTTACTGTCTGCGTTTCTTATCTTCAGAAAAGACTTGCTCCTGGTAACTGTCTAGCCATCCTAAGATTAGGACTTCTTCTTGACTGCCCGAGACTCGCCATTTCGGCCCGTGAATTTGTATCTGATCGCTTTGTACAGATTTGTAAGGAAGAGGACTTTATGCAGCTGTCTCCACAGGAACTGATCTCAGTCATTTCAAATGACAGCCTAAATGTAGAAAAAGAAGAAGCAGTATTTGAGGCAGTGATGAAATGGGTGCGAACTGACAAGGAAAACAGGGTTAAAAACCTTAGTGAAGTGTTTGATTGTATCCGTTTTCGCCTTATGACAGAAAAATATTTTAAGGATCATGTTGAGAAAGATGATATAATTAAAAGCAACCCAGAACTCCAGAAAAAAATCAGAGTTCTAAAAGATGCTTTCGCAGGCAAACTCCCAGAACCTAGCAAAAATGTGGAGAAGTCTGGGGCTGGTGAGGTGAATGGTGATGTTGGTGATGAAGATTTACTTCCTGGTTACCTGAATGACATTCCCAGGCATGGAATGTTTGTAAAAGACCTCATCCTCATGGTTAATGACACAGCAGCAGTGGCTTATGATCCCACAGAAAATGAATGCTATCTTACTGCACTGGCTGAGCAGATTCCCAGAAATCATTCCAGCATTGTTACTCAGCAAAATCAGATATATGTGGTAGGAGGACTATATGTGGATGAAGAAAATAAGGATCAACCTCTACAGTCATACTTCTTCCAGGTAAGAAGGACTTTTATATACACAGTTGCTTAAAGGGAAGGCTGTTACCATCCAGTTAGCTAATTTGTGAATTATTCAGGCTGCTTGTATTTTACTCTAATTGATGTCCTCTAAATGATGCCCTTGCACTTTTGCTGTTTAGAGAGTTGACAGAAAAATATTTGACTGCTTTGTTAATGTGTAATAAAAGTTTGGTGAATAATGAGGTTCTAATTCATGTTTAATGACTTAAGATGTTCTTTATACTATTTTACCAAAAATGCCTTGTTTATAGATGATGGTGACTGTAATCCCTCAAAGCCTAGTATTTTAGTAAAAAGTAAATTTATTTTTTCTTGGCAGAGACAAGGTCTCACTATGTTGCCCCAGCTGATCTTGAACTCCTGGGCTCAAGCAGTCCTCCCAATTTGGCTTCCGAAAGTGCTGGGGCTACCAGCCACCATTCCCTCTGTAAAAACTAAATTTAATCTTGTACACTCTTACCTATTAAAAATAGGTTAATGTCTTTCCCTAAAT